AATGTGGACCAATTTAAAAACAGGGCCCAAAATCCAAAAACTAAATACACGGTTAGATTCAGCATATTAAAGAACCCCAAGAATTCAAGAATAAAACCCCATTGAAATTGGTCAAGAAATAAGCAATTTATACGAAGTATCTTCTTTTGCACAATACTGTGCAATTAAATATTTCTTGCTATTGCGCAATACTGTACAATTGAAAATTTCTTGCTATTGCGCAATATTGTGCTATTGGATATTTCGTGCTATTGCGCAATACTGTGCAATTGAAGATTTCTTGCTATTGCGCAATACTGTGCAATTGAAGATTTCTTGCTATTGTGCAATACTGTGTAATTGAAAATTTCTTGCTATTGCACAATACTTATTATATAATAATTTACACATCCTGTTTGGTGTGTATCTCCTACCATATCATTATTATTTGCTTTTAAATATAAATCAGAAATAACCAACTTAAAATGGAAAATTTTAAAAGAAAAAAAAAAGGAAAAAAAGAAAAAAAAGGAAAAAAAAAAAATCCCCCCCCCCAAATTTTTTGAACCCCCTTATGATTCATCACCCCCAAACTCAATCCCAGCCTTCCCTTTGTGGTATGGTACCTTGCAGTACAATTTCAGAGAGATCCATAAACTTGAACACAAGTTATTGTCTGGAAACTAGAAAAATGTGTTTTTTGGCCCCTTTTTGGCCCCAAATTCCTAAACGTTTAGGGCAATTACCCCCTAACTCAAACCCAGCTTTCCCTTTGTGATATGGAACCTTGTAGTACAATTTCAGAAAGATCCATACACTTACACACAAGTTATTGTCCTGAAACTAGAAAAATGCTTGTTTTTTGCCCCTTTTTTGCCCCTAATTCCTAAAATATTGAGGCAATTACCCCCATCATCAATCCCAGCCTTCCCTTTGTGGTATGGTACCTTGCAGTACAATTTCAGAGAGATCCATACACTTGAATACAAGTTATTGTCTGGAAACTAGATAAATGCTTATTTTTGGCCCCTTTTTGGCCCCCAATTCCTAAACGTTTCGGCAATTACCCCCAAACTCAATTCCAGCTTTCCCTTTGTGATATGGAACCTTGTAGTACAATTTCAGAAAGATCCATACACTTACACACAAGTTATTGTCATGAAACTAGAAAAATGCTTGTTTTTTGCCCCTTTTTTGGCCCCTAATTCCTAAAATTTTGAGGCAATTACCCCCAAAATCAATCCCAGCATTCCTTTTGTGATATGGAACCTTGTGGTACAATGTCAGTGAGATCCATACACTAACACACAAGTTATGTCTGGAAGTTACAAAAATGCTTATTTTTGGCCCCTTTTTGGCCCCTAATTCCTTTACTGTTGGTACCATAACCCCCAAAATCAATCCCAACCTTTCTTTAGTGGTATTGAAACTTGTGGTAAAATTTCATAGAGATCCATTCACTTAAACTAAAGTTAGAGTGCGAAAACCAATATGTGTCTTCGGACGACGCCGGACGACGCCAGACGACGACGACGACGACGCCAACGTCATACCAATATACGACCACAAAAATTTGTTTGCGGTCGTATAAAAATAAATTCCTTCATCAGCATTTAATATAAGTTCTAAAAATAAATTGACAGCTAATCACCTAAAAAGAATACAACATTTCTTTATAACAAAACCATTGAGAACTTAGAATTGGTTATAGGATTTGAATTTACTCAATTTTTTGTTTTTGTGCAATACGTACAGTATGCTGTTGCAAATTGCCCCCTCCCAAAAATAAAAAAAATTACCGACCCCCCTTTTTTTTGGTTTTGTGCAATACACTATGCTGTTTTATATTGACCTCCTGAAATGAAATGAGAAAAAATTGTCCCCCTCCCACAATTTCTTTTTTACCCCCCCCCCCTTTTTTTCACCTCCCCCGCCCTTTTTCCAAACAAAAAATTCTTTCCCTCAAGATATGGTCATAATCTCAATTCAAATTTCCATTGGAGTTTGCAACCATAATTATCCATTTAAATACATCATAAAAGTCTTAAAATAGAAAATGACATACATAACCATGGCTAAAATCAATATTCCTTAATCATCATAAATTTAATAGTAACTTCTTAAAGTAAATTGACAGCTAATCACCTCAAGACAATACAACATTCCTTTATACATAATTTAAAACATTGTTTGTGTTTGGATTACCTGTCTTACACTGCTTTTAAATTGTCTTAATTGTACATTAACCAGGAAACCCTTGATTTTCCCCCTTTTTTGCCCCTAATTCCTAAACGTTTGAGCCATAACCCCCAAAGCCAATCCTAACCATCCCTTTGTGGTATAGAAACTTGTGTATAATTTCAGAGAGATCCATACTCAGTTATTGTCTGGAAACTAAATAGATGCTTATTTGGGCCTCTTTTTGGCCCCTAATTCCTAAACTGTTAGGACAATAACCCCCAAAATCAATCCCAACCTTCCTTTGTGGTTATAAACCTTGTGTTTAAATTTCAAAGATTTCTATTTACTTACACTAAAGTTATTGTCCGGAAACCAAGTGTCTTCGGACGACGACGACGACGTGATACCAATATACGACCTCAAAAATTTTTTGCTGTCGTATAAAAACAGGGTTGTATAATATCAAGACACCTTATCATTGCCCAAATCTTAAGCATTTTTTCACAATTAACTATAAATAAAAGTTTGCTTTTATTCCGTGGTTGATCGTCATAGCAACCCTTACAAGATGAAACTGCTGAAGTCTTTGGATCAACACCTCTCAGACCTGCAACTTGTGATTTGGCACCAAATATACTAGATCTATCTAATAAAGATAGAAAATATCTGTTTCTTATTCCTGAGTTGTCGATCAACTTTAATATAAATAAGGTGAATATTAAGAAGAGTTCCTATACTTTTGGAGTTTAAATCTGCAGGTTCTTTCAAGAAAGTAAGGTTTGACTTACTATGCAAGTTGGCATATCAAATTTTCAAATGGACAGTATAATAAATATTGTTTTTTAAAACATTTTTTTAATTTTCTTCTATTATTTTTTTTCAGCTTTTTTTCTAATAACAGCTAACTGCATACATGTATATTCCTTTTTCATGTGTTTGCTTATTCTAATAAATGCTGTATAATACATTGCAAAAACAAGAAACAATGTAAACATTTGATAAGAAACTATGCAAATGCCCTACATTTATTACACTTTATTTGGCTGTTTAAGCGCATTTTAAATACAGTTAACTGTTGTCTCGAACTAGGGTACCTGGTTGACTCGAAATTTTGGATGAGTCGAAGTTTTCTCATGGTCCTGAAACTTTGTTTCGTATAAATATATGTATTTCGACTCCTGATGAGTCGAAATTGGATGAGTTGAAATTTCAGTTGACTCGAACTAAATTTATGGTCCCAACGTTAACAAAAGCATTCAACATTTGTTATTTATCTCGAACTAATAAACAAATGTCAAAACATGACCTCAGGGATTTAAATAGATGAAGAGTTAATCTGACAATACATGTGTAATTAAATTTCCGGTCACTGATCACTGTATTGATTTATGACATTCTTTTTCCACAAGTGTTTACCTAAGATTATCCTTGATCACCATGATAAATAATTAGTGATACACTGTTATAGTTTATGAAAAATTATTTAAAATGCTTTAAAAACAATTAACCATAATCATACACTATGAGCTTGTTGTGAATAAAGTAGGGATTAAGACTTCCATTGATGATCAACTAAAAACTACTCAATCGGCTTCTTTATTCTTTTTGTATTTTCTCGTGCAGAAAAAGATTAAAAGAAAAGAAAAAGAAAAGAAATCAAAATTTTCTAAAATTTCTTGTATACGAGAATGAACAAGTTTGTCAACTTCAAATAACGCTAAGATCGATTGGAAATTACTCTCTCGGCTGAAAACCACAGGAAACAATTGTAACTGTACAAAGAAATAAATAAGAGACGAAAACATAAAATGTTATTATAATAACAAGCATTCTGAGAGTATTGCATGGCAATACATAGTCCCCTACCGGGTAAAAATTCATTTTACTGGAACAAAATGCTAACTTGTTCTATAACTTGTCATGGTGTAAACAAAAAGAAAATATCATGTCAATATCTTCAAGCACGACTAAAAACAGTGTGGAAAACTGATTATATGAGTGAAAAAAACATTAGATATGATGTAATACAGTGTATATCTATTTTCAAATTATAATCAAATATAGATTTGTAACTTATCTATAAAATGTCAACAACTTTTATCTACACAATGTAATGTATTGAAATATATACATTAATAAAAATAGATTATTATCTCTAATTAAAGGATTTCTCTTCATAATTTTTTTTTATATATATAGCATTCAGAAAATTAGTTTATACTAAATAACAAACAAACCTGCCAAAAAATTCTTCAAATAATTTAACAAAGAATATCTTTTAAAAAATGAGTTATCTCCCTTTGTACAGAAATATGGTTTAACATAGTATTCTAACATTAGATATGGTCCAGAGTTATGGACCATCATAACTCTAAATCATCAGACCAGAACAAAATTTGAACTTGATCTATAACTTGTCATGATAAAACTATATACCAAATATCAAATCAATATCTTCAAGAACGAACAAAAAAAAGTGAGGAAAGCTGATTTGCCGGACTGACGGATGGACAGACCGACAGATGGACAAACAGACAGACGGAAGGAGTGCAAACCTAAAGTCCCCTTCCACTTCGTCGGTAGGGGACTAATAAAAGACCGTAACATTCAAATACATCCATCTGAGACCAGAATATCAATCCCCTACCCATATCCATCCCGATTTATTTTAGCCTTACTAAGCTAAGCAAGAGTTGTGTCCCTTGGTCTATCAAACTTTCGGTTTTCTTTTGAGTCGAACTACAGATATCCTCGAAATATTTCTCGGGCCTGGCTGACTTCGAGATAACGAGGTCGACTGTAAATGTAACCCAGGGACATGATCATTTTTTTAAACATACCACTTGTAGCTTGTCCAATATTGATTCCAGCAGCACCGATGGTAAGACCAGTTTGTAATGGTGTAGTTCCACCTAGTCCAAATCCAGTTGATGTTTGTGGGGTCCCACCAAGTCCTGTAGCTGGCTGACTTATTGTACCTCCAAGACTAAAACCAGGCTTTGCTTGTGCGATTCCACCTAATGTTGGACCCGTGGTGGTTTTAGCTAACCCACCTAGGGTTAAATCAGTTGCAGGTTGAGTTGTTACTCCAAATGATAATCTAGTTGCTGGTGCAGAAGTTGTTGCCCCTAGTAATGTTGTCTGTGCAAATGATACACCTGTTATTAAAAAAAAAGTGTGGATAACTGATTTGCTGGACTGACAGTAGGACAGACAGACAGACAGACAGACAGACAGACAGAAGGACGGAGTGCAAACCTAAAGTCCCCTTCAACTTCGTCGGTAGGGGACTAAAAAGTATATTCATGTATTTGAACTCCCAATTAATACATTTGTTTCCTTCAATGTTTTTATACAAAGTTAAGTTTGGAATTCTATATGTTGTTGGATTTTTTATAATCTACTTCAGTGAATCCTTTTCCTAAAAGTTCTACCCATCTACAAACAAAAAATTATCCCAAAAAAGATGTGCCCACAAGTGAGGAGATAAAGAGTTTCTTTTTAAAAGTTGATAAGCCATATTTATTTGAGGGTTAGTTTCTGCAGGGCATATCTCAAAGATGAATATGTGAAGGATTTTCCAAAGCAAAAACAAATTTTATCAAAAGAATGGCTATATAGCATGTACATTGTATTTCAAAATTAAATTAATTTACAAAAAGCAATATTTGATAGAAATTGACACAATCATCTTAGAACATGTTTTACTCATTGTTGAAGGCCGTACAGTGACCTATAGTTGTTAATTTCTGTGTCATTTGGTTTCTTGCGGAGAGTTGTCTCATTGTCAATCATACCACATCTTATTTTTATATATACCTGAAGCTGCAGTTTTAGGGGCCACACCACCTAGTCCTAAGGCTCCAGTACTTCCAGGTGGATTTCCAGACAGTAATCCTGTCAGGGTGGGCACCGCTGTAGCACTGGTGGCAGCAGGTATGCCTCCTAAAGTGAAACCAGTTGAGGTACTAGCAAGCTGTGTGCCACCTCCAATACTAAAACCTCTTGTTGGAGCTGAGGTTGCCGCCAGATTGACTTCCAAGTTAAACCCACCTAATACAAAAAAGAAATATCTTTGTGTTTTTTATGTTGATCTTATTTGCTATAAAACAATGCATCAACATGCTCAAGAATAAAGGAAATAATATAACTAGAGGCTCTAAAGAGCCTGTGTCGCTCACCTTGGTATATGTGCATATTAAACAAAGGGCAAAGATGGATTCATGACAAAATTGTGTTTTGGTGATGGTGATGTGTTTGTAGATCTTACTTTACTGAACATTCTTGCTGCTTACAATTATCTCTATCTATAATGAACTTGGCCCAGTAGTTATAGTGGAAAATGTTTTGTAAAAATTTACAAAAATTTACAAAATTTATGAAAAAATTGTAAAAAATTGACTATAAAGGGCAATTACTCCTTAAGGGGTCAATTGACAATTTTGGTCATGATGACTTATTTGTAGATCTTACTTTGTTGTACATTATTGCTGTTTGCAGTTTATCTCTATCTATAATAATATTCAAGATAAAAACCAAAAGCTGCAAAATTTTCTTAAAATTACCAATTCAGGGGCAGCAACCCAACAACGTGTTGCCTGATTGGTCTGAAAATTTCTGGGCAGATAGATCTTGACCTGATAATCAGTTTTACCCAATGTCAGATTTACTCTAAATGCTTTGGTTTCAGAGATATAAGCCAAAATCTACATTTTACCCCTATGTTCTATTTTTAGCCATGTCGGCCATCTTGGTTCGCGGGCGGGGTCATCAGACACATTTTTTAAACTATATACCCTAATGATGATTGTGTAAAAGTTTGGTTAAATTTGTCTTAGTAGTTTCAGAGAAGAAGATTTTTGTAAAAGATTACAAAAATTTACGAAAAATGGTTAAAAATTGACTATAAAGGGCAATAACTCCTTAAGGGGTCAACTGACCATTTTGGTCAAGTTGACTTAATTGTAGATCTTACTTTGCTGAACATTATTGCTGTTTACAGTTTATCTCTATCTATAATAATATTCAAGATAATAACCAAAAAAAAACAAAATTTCATTAAAATTACCAATTCAGGGCAGCAACCAAACAACGATTTGCCTGATTGGTCTGAAAATTTCAGGGCAGATAGATCTTGACCTGATAAACAATTTTACCCCATGTCAGATTTGCTCTAAATGCTTTGGTTTCAGAGATATGAGCCAAAACTGCATTTTACCATATGTACTATTTTTTAGCCATGTCGGCCATCTTAGTTCGTGGGCGGTGTCATCGGACACATTTTTTAAACTATATACCCTAATGATGATTGTGGACAAGTTTGGTTAAATTTGTCTTAGTAGTTTCAAAGGAGAAGATTTTTGTAAAAGATTACAAAAATTTACGAAAAATGGTTAAAAATTGATTATAAAGGGCAATAACTCCTTAAGGGGTCAACTGACCATTTTGGTTAAGTTGACTTAATTGTAGATCTTACTCTGCTGAACATTATTGCTGTTTACAGTTTATCTCTATCTATAATAATATTCAAGATAATAACCAAAAACGGCAAAATTTCCTTAAAATTACTAATTCAGGGGCAGCAACCCAACAATGGGTTGTCAGATTCATCTGAAAATTTCAGGGCAGATAGATCTTGACCTGATAAACAATTTTACCCCATGTCAGATTTGCTCTAAATGCTTTGGTTTCAGAGATATAAGCCAAAATCTACATTTTACCCCTATGTTCTATTTTTAGCCATGGCGGCCATCTTGGTTGGTTGACCGGATCACCGGACACATTTTTTAAACTAGATACCCCAATGATGATTGTGACCAAGTTTGGTTAAATTTGACCCAGTAGTTTCAGAGGAGAAGATTTTTGTAAAAGTTTACGGACGACGGACGATGGACGCAGGACGACGGACGCAGGACGACGGACGACGGACGCAAAGTGATGAGAAAAGCTCACTTGACCTTTCAGGTCAGGTGAGCTAAAAATAAATGTGGATAGTGTCCACATGTGGACACAGATGATGCCCCCGCTTGCATATCATATAGTTATAAAGGGACATAACTGAAGAACGGTAAAAGTGACGCTACCCCAATTTGAACTTGATCTGAGTTTTGTGGTAATAAGCATTGTGTGCAAGTCTCATAACATTTGGTTGAGGCTGACTTAAGTAGAGAACAGAAACTAAAAATTCAGCAATTTTTCTATTTGTAAACACGCATAACTCTAGAACGGTTGTGTATAAGTTTTATAACATTTGGTTGAGACAAACTAAAGTAAGAGAACGGAAACGAAAAATTCAGCAATTTTTATGTTTATAAAGGGACATAACTCAAGAATGGTAAAAGTGTCGCCACCAAATTTCGTACTTAATCTGTATTATGTAGTAATAAGCATTGTGTATAAGTTTCATAACATTTGGTTGAGGCAAACTAAAGTTAGAAAACAGAAACAAAAAATTTGTACTTGATCTTAGTTTTGTGGTAATGAATATTGTGTATAGGTTTCATAATGTTTGGTTGGGGCAAACTTAAGTTACAGAATGGAAACTAAAAATTTTGCAATCTTCCAATTTATAAAGGGCATAACTCAATAATGGTTAAAGTGACACTACCCAAATTCAACTTGATCTGTGTTTTAATTATCAGTGGAAGTCAAAATTAAACATTGCATTGTATAAAGCATTGATTGTAGTTGATCTGAGTTTTGTGGTAATAAGTATTGTGTAAAGGTTTCATAATGTTTGGTTGGGGCAAACTTAAGTTACAGAACGGAAACTAAAAATTTTGCAATTTCTCGATTTATAAAGGAGCATAACTCGATACTGATTAAAGTGACACCACCAAAATTCAACTTGATCTGTGTTTTGTGGTAAAAAGCATTGTGTATAAGTTTCATAACATTTGGTTGAGGCAACTTAAGTATAAAGGGGCATAACTCGATAATGATTAAAGTGACACCACCAAAATTCAACTTGATCTGTGTTTTGTGGTAAAAAGCATTGTGTATAAGTTTCATAACATTTGGTTGAGGCAACTTAAGTAAGGGAACGGAAACTAAAAATTTTGCATTTTTTTCAATTTATAAAGGGGTATAACTCGAGAATAGTTAAAGTGACCCCACCAAAATTCAAACTTGATCTTTATTTTGTGGTAATAAGCATTGTGTATAAGTTTCATAACATTTGGTTGAGGCAAATTTAAGTTAGAGAACGGAAACTAACAATTTTGCAATTTTTCCATTTATAAAGGGGCATAACTCTAGAACAGTTAGAGTGACGCTTAGAGTGACGCTTCCAAAATTCAAACTTGACCTGTATTTCGTGGTAATAAGCATTGTGTATAAGTTTCATAACATTTGGTTGAGGCAAACTCAAGTTAGAGAACGGAAACCAATTTACGGACGTCTGGGGGCATAAAAATTGTGATCGGCAATGATTTTCGAACTCGTCAAAAGACTTTGCTGATATAAACCTATGATATAAGTTTCATAAAATTCTGGCAAGAATTGAACACATGAGACCGATAACATTGAAATTTTCCATATAATCAATATTTTCAAGGGGCATAACTCTTTTAAAAATAATTGATCGGCACTGATTTCAGCACTGATTTTTTTAACTTTTCAAGTACATTGATGATATCACAAAATGAATATAATTCCTGGATTCTGCATTGATTCTACTGACAGTCAGTTACTGTCTTCTGCAAAAAAAAAAAGGATAAATTTTGACCGACTTATAAGAGAATCAAGACTGATTCCTTAGATTTTGAAGCTGAAAAGGGCATCCGACTTACAGTTGGATTGACTTTTACTCGAGTACCAATGGTAATTGTCCTGAAACAAGAAAAATGCTTGTTTTTGGCCCCTTTTTGGCCCCTAATTCCTAAACAGCTAGGACAATAACCCCCAAAATCAATCCCAACCTTTCTATTGCGGTATGGAACCTTGTGCTATAATTTCATAGAGATCCATACACTTATACTCAAGTTATTGTCTGGAAACCAAAATGTCTTCGGACGACAAATTTTCTTACGACGACGATGTAGACATCGCCATAACATAATACGAGTGCACAGATTTTGCAGTCGTATAACATGTATAATAAGGAAAAGGAGCAGGCTAAACAACAGCTAATCCCATTGCCCATTAATTATTAATTTGTTGATATCAAAACTATTATCTTAAAAGACTTCAACGAATATATATGCCATACTGATAGGTACATAAAAAACAGGACAACTCTTTTTTTAAATGTATGTTCTATGCCCCTTAATGATATGGCTGCCTCTAAGCATTCATTAGTTGTTTTTTTGTGCTTGGCGCTGATCTGATGAGTTAAGCCTTTTTCAACTGATTTTATAGTTCTAATGTTGTGCTGTAACACCCCTGTTCTAGGTTAGGGGGTGGTTGAACACTTGCAAACATGCAAAACCAAACCACATTCTGTATGAACCTGTCACAAGTCTGGAGTCTTGTTACTCAGTGGTTGTTGTTGGTTGCTCTCTTTCATACTTGATTTTTATTTATTGTTTTTAACATAAATCAGGTCGTTGGTTTTTCTCTTTTGAATTGTTTTACATTCTGTCATGTCAAGGCCGTGTTAAGCTTACTAAATAGGTTTTGCTCATTGTTGTAGGTCATACAGTGAACTATTATAACAGTTGTTTACATCTACATTATTTGGTCACTGGTGGATAGTTGTCTCATTGTCAATATTCATACTAAATTTCCTTACTTTTATATAGTAACTAGTAACTTTTATAGAGTACAGTTCATCTTGACTTCCCAAGGATTTTTACACTTGTCAGGTTTTCCAAATTTTTTTTACAGTTTTCAAGATATTTGACAATTATTAGCATTTTACCTGGTTCTTTTTTATTCAGAAAGACAGTATTTATATATATAATAATTGCTATTCAAATAAAATAAATAAGAGTTCCACTGTCCCCCGCATTGCACATATTTTATCTGTCCCAGGACAATAACTAAAAAAACATTTTTTTCTTTAAAAACGTTTTATAAATATCTTATAAAGTAGAGAAATGAAGGTTTGAAAGCTCTCACAATTCAATTTTCCATACAATTAATATTTCCAAAGGACATAATTCTTTTTAAAATTATTGATAGGCACTGATTTTTGAAATTGTGAAAGAAATTGCTGATATAAACCTTTGATATAAGTTTAATATATATCTGGCAAGATTTGTAGACATGAGAGCACTTAAAATGCAACCTTCCATAAAAATAATATTTCCAAGCGGCATAATTATTTCAAAAATAAATTGAGCGGCAATGATTTTAGAACCTGTCCGAGACATTGCTGATATATACCTTATAGATCTTGTCATGTCCATAATTTTTGCAGATTAAAATGAGTAATTAGGTATGGACCATATTTGGCCCGATTAATAAGTTCAATGTTTCAAGATAAATAAGAGGCTGTCAGATTGATAGCAAACCGGATTTTCTTGCATTAAAATGATATTTGCAATATACATCACCAAATTAATAACCGATATTTTCCTTTGGAAATCCTGTTAAAAATCGATGGAAATTTACAGATTTTCATTCCATTTTGGTGGAAAATCAAAATGAGTGCTATTTGTGATGTCATGAATAGAATGCAAGTAGGGTCTTATCAAACCTCCTACTTTCTCTCCCATCTATGATAGTTTTAAAGACAATAAAATGCTCCGCTGGGCGCAGCTTGATACGACGGCAAAGGTCGAACCCTGAACAGTTGGGGCAAGTATGGACACAACATTCAAGCTTGATACAGCACTGAATTTGGATTGTGATTAAATATTTGACACAGCACAGGTTTCTGACACAGAATGAATGTGGTCTAAGAACTTAAAATTTTTTAATTTACCTATTCAAACCATATCATTATTATTTGCTTTTATATATAAATCAGAAATAACCAAATTAAAATGGAAAATTTTAAAGAAAAAAAAATCCCCCCAAATATTTTGAACCCCCTTATGATTCATCAACCCCAAACTCAATCCCAGCCTTCCCTTTGTGGTATGGTACCTGCAGTACAATTTCAGAGAGATCCATACACTTGAACACAAGTTATTGTTTGGAAACTAGAAAATTGTGTTTTTTGGCCCCTTTTTTGCCCCAAATTGCTAAAAGTTTAGGGCAATTACCCCCAAACTCAAACCCAGCTTTCCCTATGTGATATGGAACCTTGTAGTACAATTTCATAAAGATCCATACACTTACACACAAGTTATTGTCCTGAAACTAGAAAAATGCTTGTTTTTTGCCCCTTTTTTTGCCCCTAATTCCTAAAATTTTGAAGCAATTACCCCCAAAATCAATCCCAGCCTTCCCTTTGTGGTATGGTACCTTGCAGTACAATTTCAGAGAGATCCATACACTTGAACACAAGTTATTGTCTGGAAACTAGAAAAATGCTTATTTTTGGCCCCTTACTCCTAAACGTTTTGGGCAATTACCCCCAAACTCAATTAATATTCCAGCTTTCCCTTTGTGATATGGAACCTTGTAGTACAATTTCAGAAAGATCCATACACTTACACATAAATTATTGTCATGTAATTAGAAAAATGATTGTTTTTTTGCTCCTTTTTTGGCCCCTTATTCCTAATATTTTGAGGCAATTACCCTCAAAATCAATCCCAGCATTCCCTGTGTGATATGGAACCTTGTGGTACAATGCCAGAGAGATCCATACACTAACACACAAGTTATGTCTGGAAGTTACAAAAATGCTTATTTTTGACCCCTTTTTGGCCCCTAATTCCTTAACTGTTGGTACCATAACCCCTAAAATCAATCCCAAACTTCCTTTTGTGGTATTGAACCTTATGGTAAAATTTCATAGATATCCATTCACTTAAACTAAAGTTAGAGTGCGAAAACCAATGTGTCTTCGGACGACGAAGACGACGCCAACGTCATACCAATATAAAAAGTCAAAGACGCACACAATTGGTAAAAGTCATCTTTTAAAGGCAATAATATTTATTAGTTGAAAAACAAAATTTATGATCAAATTTATACCTAGGAACATTCACACTAAGTTTGGTTCAAATCAATTCAGTTGCTTCAGAAACAGGTTGTTTATCTACGTTCAAGACAGCAACGCCCAATGATGGACAACTGGCGCCCAAGTGATGACAATAGCTCACATGGACCTTGTTTCATTTCACTATACCTTCTGAAGTGTTCACTGGTAAATCTTTATGTCTGTGCCTTTGATCAGGATGGATTGCATAATATTTATCAGGACTACCTCCTGAAGTTTGACTGGGAGTACAACTTCCAGAATATGAAGGAATTTCATCAGCATATATAGTACCACTGGGTTTAATATCTGGAAAATCAAATAAAAACTTAATTTGCTTTTTCATCTGGACAAGAAATGAATAAACTTATTTCTGTTCTTTTCAAACAATCACACATCTGATAGCTGATCTAAGTATAGTGCATCTTTAACATTGGGAAAATTCAACTGCCAAAAAAGTTAAACATTGGAAAGAAGAAAAACCACCACTCTAATGGAGCAAGTTAGTTGTTTAACTCTGAATAAAAAAACAGATTTCCGATGTCCTTCTCGTTGCACATATTTTATCTGTTCTGAACAAGGACAGTAACTAAAAAAAATTGTTTGTTCTTTATAAAGCTTTTTAAAATTATCTTACTAGAGAGTTGAAGACTTTAGAGCAATTTCCGATATATTTAATATTTACTAGGGAAACTCACCAAAAATAATTGATCAGCTCTTATTTTCGAAATTGTCCAAGACATTGCTGTTATATACCTTTGATATAAATTTAATGAAAACTTGCCATAAATTGTACATGCCAGAGCACTTACAATGCAAATTTCCATATAATTTATATTTCTAAGGGCATAACTCTTTTAATCAAAGCTTTAAAGGCTGTTAAAGCAATTGCTGCTTAATTTTGGCTTCAAACGAGATTGGCCACATGCAAGGACCACCATCATCTTTTGTCAGGATGTGTATCTGATCCTTATATATCTTTTTATAACAAATTTATTTGGTCGAAGGGTGTGGCCAATGTTTTTCAGAAGAAAATAGATCTTACAAATGTATAAAACAGGCAATTTGGATAAAATCCTGTAAATACACACCAGTTGTTCAATGCAATGCTGAGGGTATTTGCATAATATTACTTTTATACTTGGAAATTATTCACTTTTAAACATGTTAAAATATGCTATAATTGGGTTACTCGTACCATTTGTCTTTTCAGGATATCATTTGGTATGCAAAAATTTTTCTAGTAAATATTATTAACATCTAATAAAGAAAAACCTTTCTGCTATTTGTTGACCAAAGGCCTTCACTAAAATTAAGAATATAATGGATTTGCTATTACCAGTAAACACAATTTCTAAGAAGATCTTAAGCACAAAAGATGATTCGTCATCAAATTATCACATTGTACTTTTATGAAATGTTGTAGCACTAGACATGCTAGATGAAAACTTAAAGAACAGATAAACATGATCAAAGTTAAATTCAAAACATAGAAATTATGAAGCAATAAATTTTCATGATGATCTTGTTACCTTGCCATTCTTTTGTTTTTAAATGCCAGAAATCCAAAGTCATACTTTTTTTGTCGAATAAATAAATAATAAGTTCTGAACCAATTCCAAATGAAGACTTGGGGCATTTGACATTGAAGAGGTAGTATAATAGTTATAGATGCTAAGCAGCTGTATTTTCTCTAAAACCTATTAATGGGCCTGACATACCTTTATCAGATTTTAACAATTTGGATTTCCAATCTTCAAATTTATAATTTTTCAAAACTTCATCATCATCAACATAGTACGATTCAGGAACTGCTGTGAATACACCACCAGGTATTTTACACACACTGACTGCTATTATTTTCATGCTTTTCTGTAATTGAATAAGTCAAATGAAATAAGTCACACCATTTTTATTTGGCTAATGGTGGCCTGCTCTTCACAAAACAAATACACATGGGACCCGACTAGAAAAATGTTTGGTGATAATTGATAAAACATACAATTTTTGTTTTTGTGACTTTTTTCATTTTTATCTATCTTTGCATTCAAGTTTAATTTCAAAGAGTAGTATTTAGGGGACTTCTGGAGTTTGAATTTCTCTAGTTCTACAAAATTCATGAAATATATTAATTAAATTAAAATAAATGTTGATAGTGTCCACATGTGGACACAGATGATGCCCCCGCTTGCATATCATATAGTTATAAAGGGACATAACTGAAGAACGGTAAAAGTGACGCTACCCAAATTTGAACTTGATCTGAGTTTTGTGGTAATAAGCATTGTGTGTAAGTCTTATAACATTTGTTTGAGGCTAACTTAAGTAGAGAACAGAAACTAAAAATTCAGCAATTTTTCTATTTGTAAACACGCATAACTCTAGAACGGTTGTGTATAAATTTTATAACATTTGGTTGAGACAAACTTGATCTGTGTTTTATCAGTGGAAGTCAAAATTTAACATTAGATTGTATAAAGCATTGATTGTAGTTGATTCAACTATAATCATGGACAAAGTAAGATAACTCCAATTTTATAAATTACTTCATATTTAGAAGAAAATAAAAAAAATTTAATTTTTCCATTTATAAAGGTGCATAACTCTAGAACGGTTAAAGTGACTCCACCAAAATTCAAACTTGATCTGTGTTTTGTGGTAATAAGCATTGTGTATACGTTTCATAACATTTAGTTGAGGCAAACTTAAGTAAGAGAACGGAAACCAAAAATTTTGCAATTTTTCCATTTGTAAAGGGGCATAACTCTAGAACAGCAAAAGTGACACCACCAAAATTCAAACTTGGTCTGTGTTTTAAGCTAATAAGCATTGTGTATAAGTTTCATAACATTTGGTTGAGGCAAACTAAAGTTAGAGAACAGAAACTAATAAAATGCTTCGCTGAGGGCAGCCTGATAAGACCGCAGAGGTTAAACCCTGAACAGTTGGGGCAAATTTGGACACAATATTCAAGCTTGATACTGTCTGAATTTGGATTGTGATCAAATTTTTGACATAATATAGGTTTCTGACACAAAATAAATGTGGTCAAAAATTTTATAAATCCATTGCGCAATACTGTGCAATTGAAGATTTCTTCTTGAAACTTTTCAAAAATTCAAAATTTTAAAAATTTTGAAAAAAAAGTATGAATACCTTGAAACCCCCCCCCCCCCCCCCCAACTTTTTAAACCCCCCTCGGAGCAATAACCCCAAAACTCAATCCCAGCCTTTCCTTTGTAGTATGGAACCTTGTGGTACAATTTCAGAGAGATCCATACACTTACACACAAGTTATTGTCTGGAAACTAGAAAAATGCTTGTTTTTGGCCCCTAATTCATACATGTTTGGGGCAATTAACCCCAAACTCAATCCCAGCCTTCCCTTTGTAATATGGAACCTTGTGGTACAATGTCAGAGAGATCCATACACTTACACACAAGTTATTGTCTGGAAACTAGAAAAATGCTTGTTTTTGGCCCCTTTTTGGCCCTTAATTCCTAAACTGTTGGCCCAATAACCCCTAAAATGTATCCCAACCTTCTACTTGTGGTATTAAACATTGTGGTACAATTTCAGAGCAATAGAAATACTTATACACAAGTTATTATCCTGAAACTAGAAAAATGCTTGTTTTGGGCCCCTTTTTGGGCCCCTAATTCCTAAACGGTTAGGACCATCATCCCCAAAATCAATCCCAATCTTCCTTTTGTGGTATTGAACCTTATTAAAAAATTTCATAGAGATCCATTTACTTAAACTAAAGTTATTTTTTGCGGTCGTATAAAAATTCAGCAATATTTACATTTGTAAAGGGGCATAACTCTAGAACGGTAAAAGAGACGCCACCAAAATTCAAACTGGATCTGTGTTTTGTGGTAATAAGCATTGTGTATAAGTTTCATAATATTTGGTTGAGGCAAACTAAAGTAAGAGAACGGAAACCAATTTTGGGACGTAAGGACGTACGTACATACGTAAGGAAGGACGTAAGCACTGACAGACGAATGGACAGACGCACGTACAGACTGACAGACAGACGTACAGATGGACTGACAGACGGACAAGGGTAAAACTTAATGCTATGGATATACTATGGATTTGTTATTACTGAAAACAATTTCTTAAAAGCTCTTCAGCACAAAAGATGATTAGAAAAGTTCATGTATTTTACCTCACCACCCTCAATATCAAATATTTGAATGTCCCAATGCGTTCCTCTAATCAGTTTCTGAGAAGGTTTTCCATAAAACATGCCCCCAATTCTTTCCTCGAAAGCACTTTCTACCAATTCTTTTGCCCTTTCTACCAATTCTTCTACACTTTCTTCTTCACTTTCTACTTTGCTTTCTTCTGCACTTTCGATTTTGCTTTCTTCTGCACTTTCTAATTTGCTTTCCTCTGCATTTTCTAAATTGTGAAAAAGAACAGCTGATTTCAATTTAATAAATCCTGTAAAACTTTTTATCATAGTTTTGTTCTCCCTGAATTGTTGTTCAATATGTTTTATAATTGGAACAGGTGACAAACACAATTTTATCTAAATATACAAACAATTTGACCAAAATCAGTATTCTTCTTCTTCATTATATTCATCACTGTTTTCTTAACATATAAAATAGGCAAAATCGCTTTAATTTCACAAGGACGTACGGACGGACGGACGGACACCTACAGACAGACAAGGATAAAAGTTAATGCCCCTCCGCTACGGCAGGGGCAATATAAAGGTTGTAAAAGTGTTTATAATAGGGATTGGATAAAAACTTTTGTTAATAATTTTTGTACAAAGCAAATCCCTAATCAATCACCAAACTAAGTAAAACTACATTTTTATTAGAGATGATTATTAATGTAAGCAGTGGGTTAAATAAAGAAAATCATTATGTTTTTGGTTTTACTTTTAGTCTAATGGAACCAAAAAATTACTGTGTGTAGTGAACCTGCCATACACCATTCCTTCCAAGTGATAAAGACAACAAAAATGTAATTTCCTATAGGGTTTCAACATGTTCAATGGGAATTATGTGCTGCCAATATCATTGTGTTTGCCACCAAATTAAACATTATATGGGGACTGAGTGTAGAAGGTCTCCAGAAAAAAAGTCTTACATACATGTAGATCGATCTGGAGTATAAGACTAGGCTGTCAACTTTCTAAAAAAATATCGTCTTATATGGAACTATTTATTTGTGATGCAAACTAATAATTTAACTTATTACCCTTTTCCTTCCACTTAATGTCTAATAAGTTAACACCAACAACTTTTCCAGTTTTATCATTGATGCCATAATAAATATCACCACCTTTGTAATTTCCAAATGCAGAAATACTATGGGAACACATCTTTTTTGATTTGTGTAGAACATTTCCTCCCTTTATCTCCTTAAACTGGGTGTATTCATTTTCATTCCTTAAGCCTTCAACTTCATGATCTAGTTTGTATGTTCGATTTGGTATAGTTGGTAATGGACCAGGTGGTCCTTCTTGACTTAAAAGTTCCACTGCTTTGGAATATTCTACTTGATCAACAGATGATGTACATGGGTAATATAAGTAATAGTTAAGTGTACTTAAATTTGGTGCAGGTTTAACAGACAGCTCTATTTCATGTTCTTTTGAGTTCCAATCCTTCATTTTTATGTTTATAAAATCAATTATGTGTTTGTAACTTAATGATTCTTTTATTCTACTTTCAATTCCTTGACACCATGTATCAAAATCCTTTGTCATAATTGTTTTGACTTTGCCTTCCTTTTTTCGCAATAATAACGTTCCTCTCTGATTCTCTTTTAAGTTCAGAAAACCAAAAACCCATCTCAAAACATTGTGATCCTCTTCAGTCTTTTTTTCCTTTTCAGGATGCATGATACTTTTGTTGACAATAATCCTGTTCTTTTTTTCTAAAAAAGAATAAAAATAAATATAACAAAATCATGTCTCAGTGGAACAAATTGAGTAACAAAAAAAAACCAATATAGCTCATTCACCAACAAAACTTGGATCATTTTATCATTTGTCCTTCAATGGGGGTCTGGATTTTTAAGGTCATTTATTATTCTCAGTCTATATATTTTAGCACCTCATCATTCACTTTTCTTTATTATTTTTTTTCACCAATTATTCTCTATCCTGTAAACCCTCTTCCACAGGTTTTGACTTTTTAAATATGATTTTTTTGTTGTTGACCGTTTTACTCTTATCAATTCTCACTTTCTACTAAAATTTTTAGGAAAGTTGGAAAATATGGCTAAATAAAATTCTCAGTTGGGTGCAGCTTGATACCACCTGAAAATTTGGGGCAAGTATGGACACTACAATTAAGCTTGATTCAGCTCTGAATTTGGATTGTGATTAAATATTTGACACAGCATGGCTTTCTGACACAGACTAAATGTGGTCAAAGAACTGAAAAATTTGAAATAGGACTTTTACATATATTATGGTCCAATATCCAAAATCTAAATACATGGATCGATTCAGCATATCCAAGTACACCAAGAATTGAATTTATCTATTTATTAATGGACAACATTAGCCAACTTTTTAAAGGGGGTTCACTTCATCAACAAAAATAAAAGAGTTCCAATGTACCCCACTTTTTTAGTTGTTCTTTTAAACTTTTTTTCAATATCTTGAGCCAATGCAATGTGATTTCCATTATAAATAACATTTCCAAGGGGGCATAACTTGTTAAATATTTTTTATCAGAACTAATTTTCGAAAGGGGTCAAAGACATTGCTGGTATAAACCTATGATATAGTTTCATAAAATTCTGGCAAGAATTTAACATATCACAGTGCTAACAATGCAATTTTCCATATAATTAATATTTCAAAGGGACATAACTCTTTTAAAATAATTGATCAGCACAAATGTTTGAACTCGTCAAAGACATTGCTGATATAAACATATGATTTAAGTTTCTAAAAATTCTGGCAAGAATTGTACACATGAGAGCGCTAACAATGCAATTTTCTACATAATTAATGTTTTCAAGGGCCATAACTGTTTAAATAAATGGGGAATGTGTCCATGGGACATGTTGACAGATAATACCACCGCTTGCATATAACTTTATAAAAGGAAATAAGTCAAGAACCATATAGGTAACACTACCCAAATTCGTACTTGATCTAAGTTTTTTGGTAATAAGCATTGTGTATAAGTTTCATAACAATTGGTTGAGGCAAACTTAAATTAGAGAACAGAAATGAAAAATTCAGCAAGAAAAATTCAGCAATTTTTCCATTTGTAAAGGGGCATAACCCTAGAAAGGTAAAAGTGATGCCACCCAAATTCAAACTTGATCTGTGTTTTGTGGTAATAAGCATTGTGTATAAGTTTCATAACATTTGGTTGAGGCAAACTTAAGTTAGAGAACGGAAACATAAAATTCAGCAATTTTTATACGACCCCATAAAAATACAAAAATTTAATTTCTATTACAATGAATAATGAAAAGAAATAATATATTAAAGCTTGGAAAATGTATAAATTTACAATAAAATAAAATGTCGCGAGATTTCATAAATGAGCTTGGCGCATTAACGTCATGGAAAAGCTTGACGTCATACAAATGATAACTGTCAAGATGAAGATTATGCTGTTTCTTGTACGCTTCAAACTTTTGCAATTTTTCCATTTATAAAGGGGCATAACTCTTGAATGGTTAAAGTGATGCCACCAAAATTCAGACTTGATCTGTGTTTTGTGGAAATAAGCATTGTGTATAAGTTTCATAACATTTGGTTGAGGCAAACTTAAGTTAGAGAACGGAAACTAAATATTTTGCAATTTTTCCATTTATAAAAGGACATAACTCTAGAACGGTTAAAGTGACGCCACCAAAATTCAAACTTGATCTGTGTTTTGTGGTAATAAGCATTGTGTATAAGTTTCATAACATTTGGTTGAGGCAAACTTAAGTTAGAGAACGGAAACATAAAATTCAGCAATTTTTATACGACCCCATAAAAATACAAAAATTTAATTTCTATTACAATGAATAATGAAAAGAAATAATATATTAAAGCTTGGAAAATGTATAAATTTACAATAAAATAAAATGTCGCGAGATTTCATAAATGAGCTTGGCGCATTAACGTCATGGAAAAGCTTGACGTCATACAAATGATAACTGTCAAGATGAAGATTATGCTGTTTCTTGTACGCTTCAAACTTTTGCAATTTTTCCATTTATAAAGGGGCATAACTCTTGAATGGTTAAAGTGATGCCACCAAAATTCAGACTTGATCTGTGTTTTGTGGAAATAAGCATTGTGTATAAGTTTCATAACATTTGGTTGAGGCAAACTTAAGTTAGAGAACGGAAACTAAATATTTTGCAATTTTTCCATTTATAAAAGGACATAACTCTAGAACGGTTAAAGTGACGCCACCAAAATTCAAACTTGATCTGTGTTTTGTGGTAATTAGCATTGTGTATAAGTTTCATAACATTTGGTGGAGGCAAACTCAAGTTAGAGAACAGAAACATAAAATTCAGCAGCTTACTCCTTAGTTACGAAATGTCATTTGTGCATTTGATGGTAAATAGTAGCCAATGTACCAAAAAATTATTATTAAAACTTGAAAATGTTTGGGTTAAGAATTATAAGGATAAAACACATTTCTTCTAGAGGTTATTGACATGTAAACTGGGTCGCTGACTCACAGACTTGTGCCCCAGTTTACACATCAATAACCTCAAGAACAAATGTGTTTCATCCTATAATACAACATTTTGCAGTCGTATAAAATTATTCACAATAAGTTTGGTTCAAATCAATTCATTTGTTTGTTTGGAGAAGATTTTTTAAATTGCGCGACAGACAAAGATAGAAGACAGCGACCAAGTAGATTTTTATTTCTTAAATATACCTTCTGATAAAACTGTAGGGCCCTGCCTTAAGCTTTGATCAGCAGGGACTGTATGAGTATCTTCATTTCTTGCTCCTTGTTCACATCCATAATCCTTTGGGTTTGGCCATTTTTTTGTAGTTTCACTGAACTTAATGGAAATATCTGAAAATAACAAAAGAATACATGCATGACATGATTAATAAAGTTAAATACAGCAATTCAATTAGAAATTGATTTGTAATAATATCTTGTAACATCTGTTGACTTTTAGAAATTATAAAAAGTTTCAGTTGTAGCTTAATTTTCAACCAACCAGATCTTAAATCACAACTACATTTTTTCAGTCACTTGTAAAATTAAACTTTATAAAAAAAGAAAAAGCTCCATCAGTTGTGTTATTGAAAAGAAAACTTTAGAATTGTAAAATGGTTGATTCTGTTTATGAAATTATATACTTTTTTAGTTTCATTTCCCCTCACTCATTATTTTCTCAACATTTTTTTGAGGGGCAGATGATACAATACATCTTAATCACAATTATTGAAAAGAACCTCTTGCTTAATATTTACTCATTAACTGAAATATTTTAACCAAAGCTCTACTACATTCAAACAAATAAAAGAACAGGGTTCCAATGTCCCCCGCGTTGCACATATTTTATATTTCCAAGGGGCATAACTCTTTTTAAATAAAAAAGTTGATTGTCCACCATTATAAAACTTGTCCGAGAAATTGCTGATATTAACCTATAGTATAAGTATTAAAACAAGCATTCTGAGAGTATTGCATGGCAATACAAATTATTAGTCCCCTACCAGTTAAAAATTCATTGTACTGGAACAAAATGCTAACTTGATCTATAACTTGTCATGGTGTAAACTATATAACAAATATCAAGTCAATATCTTCAAGCATGAGGAAAAAAGTGTGGAAAACTGATTATTTAAGTGAATTTTCTAAGTCCAAGGACCATAACTCTGCACAAAATAATTTGACTTGAACAAAATTTGAACTTGATCTGTAACTTGTCATGATAAAACTATATACCAATTATAAAATCAATATCTTCAAGCATGAGGAAAAAGTGTGGAAAACTGATTATTTGAGTGAATTTTCTAAGCCCAAGAACCATAACTCTGCATAAAATCATCAGACTGGAACAAAATTCGTACTTGATCTGTAATTATAATGATAAAACAATAAACCAAATATCAAATCAATATCTTCAAGCATGAAGAAAAAAGTGTGGAAAGCTGATTTGCCGGACAGACGGATGTACAGACAGATAGACAGAGACAGAGTGCAAACCATAAGTCCCCTTTGACTTCGTTGGTAGGGGACTAAAAATCTGGCAAGATTTGTACCCGTGTCAGTGCTAACGAGTCCATTTTCCATAAATTTAATATTTCCAAGGGGCATAACTCTTTTAATAAACTGCTTCGCTGAGCGCAGCTGGATACGCCCGCAGGGGTCCAACCCTGAACAGTTGGGGCAAAAATGGACACAATATTCAAGCTTGATACAGGTCTGAATTTGGATTGTAATTAAATATTTGACATATTATAGGTTTCTGAATAAATGTAGTCAAAGAACTTGAAATTGGTTATATGAATTGAATTTATATTCAATTAAAGATTTTTTTCTGTTGTGCAATACACTGTGCTGTTGAGCAATACTAGTAAATCTGTTGTCAGACTATAAACAAATAAAGTTCAATAACTTCTCAATGTTATATTGGAAATTTATAAAAAAAACTAAAGGGAGGTTATCTTAATAGATATAAATCAGTCATCAAAGTTTAATGAAAACTGCTCTAAGTACTTTAAGGATATTGTCCAAAAACTTGAAAATCACCCCTTTTTTATGAATAAAATCTTGTAACTCGGAAACATAAAATTTAAAATTTATAAAAATCAAAAGGGAGCTTACAACAATAGATATAAACAATTTACCAAAGTTTCATAAAAAATGCTGAAAGCATTTTTGAGTTATTGTCCGAAAACTGGAAAATCACCCTTTTTGTAACAAATAAAACCCCATAAATCAGAAACGTATAGTCTTAAATTTATAAAAATCAAAAGGGAGCTCATGTCGATAGCATTAAACAATTCACCAAAGTTTCTTGCAAATTGGTGAAATCGTTTTTGAGTTATTGTCCCAAAACTGGAAAATCCCCCCTTTTTAAATGAATAAAACTCCAAAATTCGGAAACGGTAAATTCGAAATTTATAAAAAAACGAAAGGGAGTTCACGTCAATAGATATAAACAATTCACTAAAGTCTCATGCATATTGGTAAAAGCGTTTTTGAGTTAATGTCTGACATGTTGACGATGGACGGACGGACAGACGGACGGTCAACGGTATACCATAATACGTCCCGTTTAAAAGGGCATATTTACTCCAGAAAAGTAAAAGTGACACCACCCAAATACAAACTTGAATAAGCAATATGAAAATAAGTTTCATAACGTCTGGTTGAGGCAATCTAATGTTAGAGAACAGAAACCAATTTTGGGACATACATACAGGACGTACGTACAGGCAAGGGTAAAGCGGAGGCATAATAATTTGAAAATTTAATGAGAACAAAGGCAACAATCTTGAATGTTTGTGTGATAACCATTAGATGATTAATTTTAAAACTTAATTAAACTCACATGATATGCATATATTAGTTTCAACCTACATCATAGATTTTTCCCTATTTTACTTTATTACTTAAAGTATAGGCCCATGTGAAAATCAGACAAGTTTTGAAATTTGAAAGGAATATTCCAACATTTGAAAATCAATCTATCATAAAATTGAGAATGGAAACAAAGAATGTGTAGAAGAGACAACAACACAGCCAAAGAGCAGAAAACAGCCCAAAGCCACCAATGGAATTTCAACACAGCAAGAAATACGGCACTAGGAGGAGGGCTTCAGCTTGCCCCTCAACAATAATTAAAATGTATATTCAGTGAAAATGGACGTCACACTAAACTCTTAAACATATAAATGAACCAAAATTAAAAATAAATGGGGGATGATGCCCCCGCTTGCATATCATATAAATTTATGAAGGGACATAACTGAAGAACGGTAAAAGTGACGCTACCCAAATTTGTACTTGATCTGAGTTTTGTGGTAATAAGTATAGTGTATAAATTTCATAACATTTGGTGGAGGCAAACTTAAGTAAGAGAATGGAAATGAAAAATTCAGCAATTTTTCTAAATTGTAAAGGGGCATAACTCTAGAACAGGAAAAACGTGATGTCACCAAAATTCAAACTTGATCTGTATTCTGTTGTAATAAGCATTGTGTATAAGTTTCATAACATTTGGTTGAGGTAAACAAAAGTTGAAGAACGAAAACAAGAAATTCAGCAATTTTTCCATTTGTAAACAGGCATAACTCTGGAACAGTTATAGTGACACCACCAAAATTCAAACTAGATCTGTATCTTGTGGTAATGAGCATTGTGTATAAGTTTCATAACATTTGGATGAGGCAAACTTAAGTTAGAGAATGGAAACGAAATATTGAGCAATTTTTCCATTTGTAAAGAGGCATTACTCTAGAACGGTTTAAATGACCCCACCAAAATTCAAACTTGATCTGTGTTTTGTGGTAATAAGCATTGTGTATAAGTTTCATAACATTTGGTCAAGGCAAACTAAAGTTAGAGAACGGAAACCAACTTTAGGACGGACGGATGGATGGACGGATGGACAGACAGACGGACTGACCGACAGACGGACAAGGGTAAAACTTAATGCCCCCTCCACTACTGTGGGGGCATAAAAACATTCAAACTAACAAAGGCAAGAGGTTCCTGACTTGGGATAGGCACAATAAAATGCTCCGCTCGGCGCAATCTTGATAAGACTGCAGAGGTAGAACCCTGAAAAGTTGAGGCAAAATTGGACTGTGATTGAACATTTGACACAGCATAGGTTTGTGACACAAAATGAATGTGGTCAAAGAAATGAAAAATTTGAAATTGAACATTTATCTATTATGGTCCAGTATCCAAAATCTAAGTACATGGTTAGAACCAGCTTATCAAAGAACCCCAAAAATTCAATTTTTGATGAAATCAAACAAAAGTAATTTACTCCTTAGTTACGAAATGTCAATTGTGCATTTGATGGTAAATAGTAGCCAATGTACCAAAAAATGATTATTAAAACTTGAAAATGTTAGGATTATATTTAATTAAGAATTATAAGGATTAAACACATTTTTTCTAGAGGTTATTGACGTGTAAACTGGGTCGCTGACTCACAGACTTTTAATACATAAAAGTCCTTCAGACTTTAATTCAGTTTGTCAGTTAACTGCCCCAGTTAACACATCAATAACCTCAAGAACAAATGTGTTTAATCCTATAATACAATATTTTGCAGTCGTATAAAAATATTCACAATAAGTTTGGTTCAAATCATTTCATTTGTTTTTTTTGGAGAAGATTTTTTTACTTGCGCGACAGAAGAAGATAGATGATGGAGACCAAGTTGATTTTTATTTCATTTAAATATACCTTCTGATAAAACTGTAGGTCCCTGCCTTAAGCTTTGATCAGCAGGGACTGTATCAGTATCTTCATTTCTTGCTCCTTGTTCACATCCATAATCCTTTGGGTTTGGCCATTTTTTTGTAGTTTCACTGAACTTAATGGAAATACCTGGAAATAACAAAAGAGAACATGCATGACATGATTAATAAAGTTAAATACAGCAATTCAATTTGAAATTGATTTGTAATAATATCTTGTAACATCTGTTGACTTTTAGAAATTATAAAAAGTTTCAATTGTAGCTTAATTAATTTTCAACCAACCAGATCTTAATTCACAACTACATTTTTTCAGTCACTTGTAAAATTAAACTTTATAAAAAAAGAAAAAGCTCCATCAGTTGTGTTATTGAAAAGAAAACTTTAGAATTGTAAAATGGTTGATTCTGTTTATGAAATTATATACTTTTTTAGTTTCATTTCCCCTCACTCATTATTTTCAACATTTTTTTGAGGGGCAGATGATACAATACATCTTAATCACAATTATTGAAAAGAACCTCTTGCTTAATATTTACTCATTAACTGAAATATTTTAACCAAAGCTCTACTACATTCAAACAAATAAAAGAACAGGGTTCCAATGTCCCCCGCGTTGCACATATTTTATATTTCCAAGGGGCATAACTCTTTTTAAATAAAAAAGTTGATTGTCCACCATTATAAAACTTGTCCGAGAAATTGCTGATATTAACCTATAGTATAAGTATTATAACAAGCATTCTGAGAGTATTGCATGGCAATACATAGTCCCCTACCAGTTAAAAATTCATTGTACTGGAACAAAATGCTAACTTGATCTATAACTTGTCATGATGTAAACTATATAACAAATATCAAGTCAATATCTTCAAGCATGAGGAAAAAAGTGTGGAAAACTGATTATTTAAGTGAATTTTCTAAGTCCAAGAACCATAACTCTGCATAAAATCATCAGACTGGAACAATATTCGTACTTGATCTGTAATTATAATGATAAAACAATAAACCAAATATCAAATCAATATCTTCAAGCATGAAGAAAAAAGTGTGGAAAGCTGATTTGCCGGACTGACGGATGTACAGACAGACAGACAGAGACAGAGTGCAAACCATAAGTCCCCTTTGACTTCGTTGGTAGGGGACTAAAAATCTGGCAAGATTTGTACCCGTGTCAGTGCTAACGAGGCCATTTTCCATAAATTTAATATTTCCAAGGGGCATAACTCTTTTTAATAAACTGCTTCGCTGAGCGCAGCTGGATACGCCCGCAGGGGTCCAACCCTGAACAGTTGGGGCAAAAATGGACACAATATTCAAGCTTGATACAGGTCTGAATTTGGATTGTAATTAAATATTTGACATATTATAGGTTTCTGAATAAATGTAGTCAAAGAACTTGAAATTGGTTATATGAATTGAATTTATATTCAATTAAAGATTTCTTTCTGTTGTGCAATACACTGTGCTGTTGAGCAATACTAGTAAATCTGTTGTCAGACTATAAACAAATAAAGTTCAATAACTTCTCAATGTTATATTAGAAATTTATAAAAAAAACTAAAGGGAGGTTATCTTAATAGATATAAATCGGTCATCAAAGTTTAATGAAAACTGCTCTAAGCACTTTAAGGATATTGTCCAAAAACTTGAAAATCACCCCTTTTTTATGAATAAAATCTTGTAACTCGGAATCATAAAATCTAAAATTTATAAAAATCAAAAGGGAGCTTACAACAATAGATATAAACAATTTACCAAAGTTTCATAAAAAATGCTGAAAGCATTTTTGAGTTATTGTCCGAAAACTGGAAAATCCCCCCTTTTTAAATGAATAAAACTCCAAAATTCGGAAACGGTAAATTCGAAATTTATAAAAAACGAAAGGGAGCTCACGTCAATAGATATAAACAATTCACTAAAGTTTCATGCATATTGGTAAAAGCGTTTTTGTGTTAATGTCCGACATGTTGACGACAGACGGACGGACGGTCAACGGTATTCCATAATACGTCCCGTAAACGGGCGTATAAAAAAAGTCGATAGCCCACCATTAAAGAACTTGTCTCGCCTTTTTTACTAATCATTGATATTATGCTGATAGTCCTAAATATAAAGCTCTACTACAACTATCACATAAACTTAACATGATCCAAGAAAATGAGGTCAAGGTCATATAAACCAAACAAGAAATACATGTACACCTTACAATCATTCAATACACTAAATATAGTTGACCTATTGCTTATAGTTTCTAAGATACAGACTTAACCAAGAAAACTAAACATTAGGGGCCAGCTGAAGGATGCCTCCGGGTGCGGGAGTTTCTCGCTGCATTGAAGACCCATTGGTGGCCTTCGGCTGTTGTCTGCTCTATGGTCGGGTTGTTGTCTCTTTGACACATTCCCCATTTCCATTCTTAATTTTATTGACCAATGAACCATGAAAATGAGGTCAAGGTCAGATGAACCATGCCAGGCAGACATGCACAGCTTGAAATCCTTCCAAGAAAAACAGACCAAAACACAAAAACTTAACACTGAGCAATGAACCGTGAAAATGAGGTCAAGGTCAAATAAAACCTGCAAGACTGACATGTACATCATAAAATATTTCCATACACCAAATATAGTTGACCTATTGCATATAGTATTAGAAATAAAAAAAAAATGTGGATAGTGTCCACATGTGGACACAGATGATGCACCCGCTTGCATATCATATAGTTATAAAGGGACATAACTGAAGAACGGTAAAAGTGACGCTACCCAAATTTGAACTTGATCTGAGTTTTGTGGTAATAAGCATTGTGTGTAAGTCTCATAACATTTGGTTGAGGCTAACTAAAGAAGAGAACAGAAACTAAAAATTCAGCAATTTTTCTATTTGTAAACACGCATAACTCTAGAACGGTTGTGTATAAGTTTTATAACATTTGGTTGAGACAAACTAAAGTTAGAGAATGGAACATAAAATTCAGCAATTTTTATGTTTATAAATTAAGGGACATAACTCAAGAATGGTAAAAGTGTTACCATCAAATTTCGTACTTAATCTGTATTATGTAGTAATAAGCATTGTGTATAAGTTTCATAACATTTGGTTGAGGCAAACTAAAGTTAGAAAACGGAAACAAAAAATTTGTACTTGATCTTAGTTTTGTGGTAATGAATATTGTGTATAGGTTTCATAATGTTTGGTTGGGGCAAACTTAAGTTACAGAATGGAAACTAAAAATTTTGCAATCTTTTGATTTATAAAGGGGCATAACTCAATAATGATTAAAGTGACACTACCCAAATTCAACTTGATCTGTGTTTTATCAGTGGAAGTCAAAATTAAACATTGCATTGTATAAAGCATTGATTGTAGTTGATTCAACTATAATCATGGACAAAGAAAGATAACTCCAATTTTAATAAAATTACTTGATATTTAGAAGAAAATAAAAATTTTGCAATTTTTCCATTTCTAAAGGGGCATAACTCTAGAATGGTTAAAGTGACGCCACCAAAATTCAAACTTGATCTGTGTTTTGTGGTAATAAGCATTGTGTATAAGTTTCATAACATTTGGTTGAGGCAAACTTAAGTTAAGATTGGAAACCAAAATTCAGCATTTTTTCCATTTGTAAAGGGGCATAACTCTAGAACGGTAAAAGTGATGCCACCAAAATTCATACTTGATCTGTGTTTTGTGGTAATAAGCATTGTGTATAAGTTTCATAACATTTGGTTGAGGCAAACTTAAGTTAGAGATTGGAAACGAAAAATTCAGCATTTTTTCACTTTGTAAAGGGGCATAACTCTAGAACCGTAAAAGTGATGCCACCAAAATTCAAACTTGATCTGTGTTTTGTGGTAATAAGCATTGAGTATAAGTTTCATAACATTTGGTTGAGGCAAACTAAAGTTAGAGAATGGAAACCAATTTTGGAACGTACGTACATACAGACGGACAAGGGTACAACTTAATGCCCCCTCCGCTACGGCGGGGGCATAAAAAAGACCAAAACTCAAAAACTTAACTTTTACCACTGAACCATGAAAATGAGGTCACGGTCAGAAGACACCTGCCCGCTAGACATGTACACCTTACAATCATTCCATACTCCAAATATAGTAGACCTATTGCATACAGTATAAGAAAAACAGACCAAAACACAAAAACTTAACTATAAACACTGAACCATGAAAATGAGGTCAAGGTCAGATGACACCTGCCAGTTGGACATGTACACCTTACAGTCCTTCCATACACCAAATATGCTAGACCTATTGCTTCTAGTATCTGAGATATGGACTTGAACACCAAAACTTAACCTTGTTCACTGGTCCATGAAACGAGGTCGAGGTCAAGTGAAAACTGTCTGACAGCATGAGGACCTTGCAAGGTACGCACATATTAAATATAGTTATCCTATTACTCATTATAAGAGAGAAATTAACATTACAAAAAATCTTAACTTTTTTTTCAAGTAGTCATTGAACCATGAAAATGAGGTCAAGGACAATGGACATGTGACATATGGAAACTTCGTAACATAAGGCATCTATATACAAAGTATGAAGCATCCAAGTCTTCCACCTTCTAAAATATAAAGCTTTTAAGAAGTTAGCTAACGCTGCCGCCGCCGTAGCCGCCGGATCACTATCCCTATGTCGAGCTTTCTGCAACAAAAGTCGCAGGCTCGACAAAAATCTGGCAAGAATTGTACCCGTCAGAGTGCTAACGAGGCCATTATCCATACATTTAATATTTCCAAGGGGCATAATTCTTTTAAAAAAAGTTGATCGTCCACCATTATAAAAAATGTCCAAGATATTGCTGATATTAACCTATAGTGTAAGTATTATAAAAATTTAGCAAGATTTGTACCCGTGACAGTACTAGTGCTAATGAGGCCATTTTCCATATATTTAATAGTTCCAAGGGGCATAACTCTTTTTGAAAAAGTCGATCATCCACCATTATAGAACTTGCTGAGATATTGCTGATATTAACCTATAGTATAAGTTTTATAAAAATCTGGCAAGAATTGTACCTGTGAGAGTGCTAACGAGTCCATTTTCCATAAATTTAATATTTCCAAGGGGCATAACTCTTTTTAAAAAAGTTGATCGTCCACCT